TATGATCTTTTCGCTGATGGATATGGGAAATTGCCACAGAATCTGGAGCGGTTATCAACAACAGCAGTAAAAAATAAACTCTTTTCATTTCATAACAAATATCAATTTATAACAAATATCAATTAACCAAATTGCCAAATGACCTCTCTGCATATAAAGAAAGCTTAAAAAGTTTCCGTAGCGCCATTCATAATTACTTTTTAAATAAAGAAGAACAACTTTTAAATATTGATAGAAATTCTTTCTGGACCTATATCAAAAGAAAATTTTCAAATCCATGTAAACAATTAATTCTGCAACATAATGATAATGTGATCACCTCTGATATTGATATTGCAAATGTATTTAATCAGCATTTTTCTAGTGTGTTTACTAAGGATAATACTCATATTTCCTGTTTTAACGTAAATCGAATTTGTTGCACTTCTCTCTGCGAGATTGAAATAACACTACTGGATGTTTATGATGCCTTAAATAGACTTAAGCCGTCCATTTCAGCTGGTCCCGATAACATTCCACAAATAATTTATAAAAAATGCGCAGTCTCTCTGAGTCTTCCCCTATTTTTAATTTATAAAGAAATTATGAAGTCTGGCCTTAATCCCAAAATTTGAAAATTGTCCCATATAGTTCCCATTCATAAAAAAGGAAGCACCTATGACGCTTCTAATTACAGACCTATTAGCTCAACATGTGCTGGTAGCAAGGTACTTGAAAGGTTGATTTGCAACAAATTGCTTACTTATCTTGATGCCAATAATTTTATATCTTCTTATCAGCATGGCTTTTGTACAAAAAAATCTACTTCTTCACAAATATTGGCAAATCTCTCTGATTGGTCAGCATCAATTGACAATGAAAAAATAGTATCAGTTATGTGCCTAGATTTTGCTAAGGCTTTTGATACTGTTTCCCATAGCAAATTATTGGTCACTCTTAATAGTTATGGCATAACAGGGGACCTCTATAACTGGGTTTCAGATTACATAAAAGATCGTTACCAGGCTATATATGTTAACAACACTCTTTCTGACATGACACCTGTTAAATCAGGCGTACCCCAAGACAGTTGTATTGCGCCATTGCTATTTCTATTATATATAAATGATATCACCACAGTGGTAATAAATTCTACTATTTATTTTTATGCTGATGATTGTAAAATTTATTATTATTCTTTATTATAATAATACTAATAATTTACAATAATTTATTATTATTGTAAAATTTCTTATTCTCATGGTAGAACGGATAGCCTATCTCCACTGCAGGAGGACCTCAACAGATTAGCTGACTGGCTATATGACAGGCAAATTACCCTTTCCTTTCAAAAATGTAGCGTTCTTCACATCAACTCTAAAAGATTCGATCTTCCTAACCTTTTTATAAATGGTAATTTAATCAATAGAGTCTCACACATCTCCGATCTTGGAATAATCATGGATGAAAATCTCGATTTCGATCTTCAATGCAGAACCATAATAAAGAAATCCTCAAGGATACTAAATTTTATTTTTCGTTCGTTTAAGACCAAAACTGGAAGTTTTCTTATCAAATTATACAAAGCATTCGTTCGGCCTCTTCTTGACTACAATACTATATGTTACTCCCCTAGACATCGCAAAACAGGCAAAATAATCGAAGGACTCCAAAAATATTTTCTAAGACGCCTCTCTCCTAATAAAAATTATAATTTTAATTATAAAAGAACACTTCTACAACATAACATGGATTCTCTCTCAGTTCGTAGAATTAAACAAGATTTAATTTACACATATAAGATTCTGTATGGTTATGTTAAACTAGATTGCTCGAAATATTATAACTTTAGACTAAATTTGAATCCAACAAGAACTAATGGCTTAAAATTACTAAAACCTATATGCAAAACTAAACTAAGGACCCATGACTTCTTTATTCGTACTATTAACTACTGGAACAAATTACCGAACGATGTAGCTTGTGCGTCATCCCTAGCTGTCTTTAAAAAAAGACAATATCATTTACGATATTATTTAAAAACAAAAAAAAAAAAAGAGAAGAGTTTACACCAGGCAAGAACTGCAGGAAGTGAGAAATCTCGATTTTATCTTCAGGTTATATATGTTACTTCGAATTGTACTATATTATATTGATCTGTAATTTCCTCTTTAAATTGTTAATTTCTGTCATATTGTTTTATAATTAATTTTGTTTATGTTATATATATTTTTTTTTTTGTTTTGTGTTTTCTTTTTCTGTTATCTTAATTGTTATTATTAATACAAGCACATGGCCTTGTCGCCCTGCTTGGTTGGTTATCAATAAATATTACTATCCTTTCTGCCGTTGCATTCGATTCATTTAATAAAGCAGTGCTGTGGAGGGTGATGGAATATGACAGTGTTCCAGAGAAGATTATTTGACTTAAAAAAGGCATTTTACCAATGTACATCGGCCAATGTATATGAGGAATTGACAAATCATTTCGAAACAACTGATGTCCGCCAGGACTGAGCCCTTTCTCCTGCAACATTCGACTCTACGATAGATTAGATTATGGACATCGCTTGCTGGCATTCAAGAGCTCGTACAAAGCAGCCCAGAGCATAATATCACAAATCTTGAATATGCTGATGACGTAATCCTCTGTAGTTTTTTTATGAAAGAATGCAAGAGATGCTAGATTACAACTGCAGCAAAAATCAGACTCAGGATTAATGTAAATAAGCCTCTGCTTTTGCTATTTATACATTACCAGCCACTGATAAAACACCTATTTTTATCAATTCAAGGGCTGAGTCAGGCTTTAAATGCTTGAATCCACTTCTCATACCAAACATGCGAAACATCTATGGAAAAGCTGCGAAATCGACAAGAAAAAGAAAGTTCGTATCTATCTATCTGCGCACCATTTTATTTATTATCTGCGAAATATGGTCAATGAAAGTTGAAGTGGATATTAAGATATCCATCCTTGACCATTCATCACTGAATGATATTTCGCCTATTCGCACCATGGAAAATCACATGTGATTACATACATCTTTGATCAAATACCACATGCATTAACAATACAATGTCTTCGTCGCCTCCTACAGGACTGGTACATATTTCATTACTTGCTAAATCCTATGATTGATAGCATCAAAAGAGAGGAAAACTGATCAAGATCTGGATAGATAATCAGAAGAAATTTTGAATGTAAAAATGTAAAAATGGCCCAGCAATATATGGGCTTAGACAATAGAAAAAGGAGAGGTTAATTTTAAAATCAGACATAGATCGGATTGAGCGTTTTGGAGCGCCTTACTCTTGAAGCCAACGGAGTCAACCTAACCAGTAATGGTAAAAAATTTTTTGATTTTTTAATGCTATCTAATTTTTATGACAGCTTCTATGACACTCTCTTCATGTGACAAATATTTTTTTTGCTCTCGCATTCATTAGTCCCGTCATCTTTGCAATATTTTATACTGTCTAATTTTTAATACGAGCTCTTAGAAAAACTTATACAAATATTAATCACTCCAGTGCGTACCCTAGCAGTATCCTTAAGCTTATTAGGGATTATAAATTGTCAAAATTATAAAGATATAATCATTCAGTTGCAGCCGCTTTGCTTTACAAAACTAAAAAATAACCTGCAAAATCACCACATGTTGATTTACACTGCTGTTCATTGTCGAAACGATTCGAAGTTCCTTCACAGCCACCGTAATGGAAACGATTGCACGTACCGTCTTCTTTATTGTAATACCATTTAGTGACAAATTTGTCGCATGGACCAGTATCTTTCATTTCTTCGCATGCTGACGAAGGTTTTCCTGTAATAATTACCAATCAACTATTAGATAAGGTATTAGATTTTAACGTTTCTAAGAACTGATTCAAATTAAATTGTGAACATGCAAAAATAACTGATTTCGGACAGTACAGTAAGGATAACTGAATGAAAATAAGCGTATATGCTACGAAATTTTATTTCACAGAGAGAATTCAATATTCCAAGAGAAAAACTCTTTATAAACCGTGTTTTATTTCATCGCTATGTTCGAGATCTTGTGATCCAATTTCAGGTGCAGAAACATCTACAGGCGCCAATTCGCGTGCAGAAGATCTTAGGCAAACTTCTTCGCAATGTTCTCTGGTATGGAATCGATTGGCTGTTCCTCCGCATCCAGAATATTCAAATCTTTCGCATGTGCCAGTCGCCCTCTCGAAATAAAAACTTTCGAATTTTCCTTCACACCTACCTATATCCATTCGCTCTTTACAAGCTTCTCGTGTCTTCGCTGAAAATTCGGATCTAAAAGTCACTAAAGATTATAAAATAATATAATATAATATATTATGTATGCCTTCGACAGGAGTAAAGCTGTCATATCAAAAATCCGAATGGCTGGTGAGGGCCCATCTGTAACTCTATCCCCAAGTGACTGAAAAGGGTATCCGAGTCTTCCTACGCTTATGGTACTTTCAGCCCAGTGGTACATACAATAAATATACGATTCGGGCGTAAAATGATCCCAAGGGAAACGATTCATAAATAAAATGTGCTCGCAAGCCAGGACAATTGCTCAAAATCTATCAAGGGGAATAGCTGTCTACTCGAGCGGCGAGGTATTAGCTGTACCAGCTTGTAACGTCAAAACGCTTATGGACGTTGCAAGTCAAGCGATTACTGTCTACACTCTTTCTAAACATCGTGTGGATATCGCCTGCTTGTTGGAGGTCCTTCCTCGTTCGAGTCTTGTGCAAACATGGCTACGAGCAGAGATACTGGCTACGTCATTTTAATGTAACTCGGTGCGAAATGGCGTATTTACTGTCAATATATAAAAAGGCTCATTCCACTGATTGAATGGAAACCGGTAAACGACCGTATGGCCTATGCCTATGCTTTAAAGGGAAGTTTTACAATATCTTGGTCACAGTATATATGCTCCAATTTTGGCAGCAGATAATCGCGATAAAGATAAGTTCTATGCGGAACTTCAACTGCTAACAAAGTCTGTACCGAAATATGACATCATAATGGGGGAGACTGGAATGCGCGTAGGTTATAATGCCACTGCGATAGCCTCGAAAATTGGTAAATATGGCGTCAGAGTCCGGTGCCTCGATGGGGAACGTCTTCCCGCTTTGTTGAAGAGCATAACATCTAGTCGTATGGAACTCCTCGGATAATCTATACTCCAACCAGATTAATTATATCTTAGGCAGTCGTCGTTGGAAGAGTTCCGTACTGAACAATACTATTGTAGTGCTGAAACGAGCAATCTTAATGGATCTAACCATGCTTTGGTTTGAATTGGCATAAACTGACAACTCGCAAGAAATAGCGTCCCCCAAGACTTTTCAATATCTTAAATTGAAATGTTCGAAGACAAATTCGAAGACAATGAGCGCATTTCAAACCGAATTATTGAAGCATCTCAGTAGTATAAATATCAATGATTTTTCTGGAACAGCAAATGAATGCTGGCCCCAACTAAAGGAATGTCTCCGAAAGTCAGCCACTTTCACGATAGGGCATACTAGTAGGAAGTGCGCTAGTTGGGTATCAGAAGCAACGGTCCAACTGTCTGAAAAAAGTTGCCAAAGCCGAGATGCCAGGAATGCCAGGAAAAGATCCTGATTATCGGGTGCTTCGAAGACTTATAACGATAGCAGCACGGTGGAAAAGAAATCGCTACTAGAGCTATATGGCCTTGAGAATGGAGACGGTTAGGCAATAATAGGAAACTATTCTGCTTTCCTTATAAAGTAATTATAAAGGGGAGGGGAACGATCGGTAAAATGGTAAGGGGTAGCAATGGTATGCCTGTTAAGGCTATTTAGGATCGTGTCATAAAATAGGAAGAATTTTTTGACACCAAACAACCACGATACGCCATCTGTTGTCCCGGACATAACTAATTTGCCCATCGAGCCATATATTTGCAACTGCGAATTGCCAACAGATAATGAAATAATCTCTATAATCCATAAACTTGAGGCCAATAAAACTCCCGGAGATGGTCTTCGGGCTGAATTCTTCAAATTTTGTCCATCGCCCTTCATAACGCAGCTTCAAATGTACAAATGTACTCTCTGGCATGGAAAAAAGAAACATTAATTCTGCTCCCAATTTTCAGGAAAGATGACAGGACATACTGCGACAATTATCGAGGTATCAACCTACTGGACGTCCCAGCGAAAATTTTTAATTCCCTTTTACTCAGTAGACTTATGGAAATATGGGACAGAATGCGCCCTAATCAAGCTGGATTTAAACCGGAGTGCAATTGAGCAGATATTAGGTTAAGAAGGGTTTTGGAACATCGCTTCACATATTTGCGACACACCGTCACGTGTTTCATCGACTTTGCGGCTGCCTTCGATTCAATTGATACAGCGGCTTTGGAGAGTGATGGAACCCGACGGTGTTCTCGAGATCATTTGACTCATAAACGTGTTTTATGAGGATACGTCGGCGCAGATCTATGTATATGGAGAACTGCCAGGATTCTTCGAAATAAAAACGTGTTCGCCAAGGTTGTGTCTTTTCCCCTACAATATTTAACTATGGGATAGACTGGATAATGAGCACCGCTTGTCGGCACTCAAGAGGTGTACAAATCAGTCCAGAGTCCAGAGCACTGGATTAGAGATCTTGATGATGTAGTCTTTTTTGCTGACAGTTACGAAATGCAAATAATGCTAAATAATGCGAAACCAAGAAATCAGCAATTGCAGCGAGAATTATACTCAGGGTTAGTGTAAATAAGATAAAATCATTTTCGTCTTATATGCAAAAAGCTGATAAAATACCTTTTTTTATAAATTCATTACCAGTTGAGGAAATGCCCAATATTAAATAATTTGGATCCACTCTAATACAGAATGGCCAGGCAAAAAACGATATTACACCCCGGATTACAGCAGCTAGAAATGCGTTCTTCCAGTTGATGTGAGCTGTTGTGAAATCACCATAAAAACAAAACTTCGCATCTATATTGGCGAGGTTCATTCGATCTTGCTACGGGACATGCCCAGTGAAAGTGGAGGAATATTAAGAAGCTATCTGCCTTTTATCACTCATGTCTAAAATAAATTTTACGGGTTCCCCGAGTGGATAAAATCTCACATGCTCGCATCCACCTTCATTCCAATACCACTTGCAATACCATCATGAAGCATCACCTTCGGTTAAGATACGTTCTTTGTCGCCAACCAGAAGAGTTGACACATATTTTATTAATTACTAATCCATTTGATGGGTGGCGTCAAAAGCGAGGTGGGTCAATCAAGACCTGGCCTAATACGGTCAGCAAAGATTTTGAACGTATAGATGGACCAGCAATATAAGGACTTAAGACGATGGAAAAAGGAATGGCTTCTATTACTGTCGACGATGGCACCATACTGCGCCACTTGGAAATGTCTTACTCTTGTAACCAGTGACCAGCCTAACCAGTAATGATGAGAGGTGTTAGAAAAAGAAAATTATTCTAGAAAATATAAGAATTTTAAAACTGCACGGGATTAACGACTTAAAAAGACTATTTTATTTACATCTAGAATTATCAGGTAATACAGCTGGTCGTTCTTCAACAATGATGGATGGAATTTCATCCGGTCGATGTCGGCCAGGAAGTTGTGCTGCACTGACAGCTGAAAATATGTTATTGTTATCAGATCATTTGACATCGCATCAAAAAAATGCATTTATAAAAAAATTCAATTAATAGCTCTCACTTCTCGGATTTTTGTTAAATAATCATTCTAAAAGAGTCATCAAAAACATAAGAGAAAGAAAAAAATTTAGAAAAGGCTTTCGTCATGGATCTTGAATAACCATTTCTGCTTGTTTCGAGATGACCACAACGTGCTTCACATTCTTCTTTAGTTTTGTACTTATTCATATTTCCACCACATCCTCCATAAATGAATGGATGACATTTTCCAGAAAAAGCATCGAAGTAAAACATGTCTTCATAGCTGTCGCAAGGCCCACTATCTACTGTTTGACGACAAATCTCATCCATCGTTACTGAAGATAAAATTTCATTAAATATTAAATTATTTCCAAATAGCTGCACGAGGTTCTTGGATTTATGAGGCAATTTCAATGAATAATAAATAGTCAAAAATGATTAATCTATTTTTTAAACGAGGATTTATTGATAATAAAACAAATAGTTATAGGAAATGTAACAGAAAAAAAATTTCACTTAGACCACGAATGTGAAATCAAAAAAAAAAATAACGGGAGTTAATCATTCGAACTTAATGAAAAAAGATAGTCGTAAGAATTTCAATGAATTAAATTTAAAAAGAAGTTTTTAAAAATTTTAAATGATAAAATTTTCCAATCTTCAGTTCTCTTTGAATGATTAAGCATAAATTTTATTTTAAGACGATACAATAAGCATAAAAAGAAACAAACGAACGTGGTTGTTGGACTTGTGAAATTTGAGAATATCCAACGCTTTCAGGCTGGGGAACTTGTTGTTGCTGAGCTTTAGAAGATTTATCGAAATCACGCGAAAAATCGATTGGAATTCTTTGTGGCTGTATTGGAGAATATGTGTGTGCTACAGGCTGAGGCTGAACTACATGGTGAATTGATGAAGAAGATAAAACTTCAAGTGGACCGACTCCAGCACAGAAGTTTTGACATTCCTCCCAGCTCTCAAAATTATTGCTATTGCCTAAACAACCACGCCACCAGAATGCACCACACTGCTTTGTAGTATAATCATACCAGTAGCGCGCAGATAACTGATTGCATCGCAAAGGTCCTTCCACTTTAGGCAAATAACAACGACCTATAAAATTGATTAGCGATTTATACCTGATACTTTCCATGTATACAAAATCTGTTGAGAAAATTGCAATCCTGTTGAAATATTAAAGCAAATGGAATCAAGACGAATTGACAAGATGAAATTTTTTAACCATCATAACCATTCTTCCAAAATACTATCAATCTAGGAATTTTTCTTTTTTTAATCTGTTTTAATTAGCCAAGACGATTAAAAATGGATATGAAAATTAGAACTATTTAAGCCAAATAAACTGACACGGAAAAAAGATATAGGATACATAGGAAGGCTGGATAAGTATGTTGCTTCGATTGAGGTTAAGTCGCCATAAGTTCCATTCTTGTCCCTGTCCCTTGATGAAAACATTATTGGAAGTGAGATTGGCAAGTAACTCTTTGACGAATGGATCCTGTGGTAAGCGGAACTAGCCTCACTACAGTCAGCTAAACCAGAGATGGCGAATGCCCCTGGGAGAAAATATATCAAGAAGATCAAAACGACTGGAATTCGGCAATGAATAAATGATGAAATGAAATGAAATGATTAAAATGATGAATAATGCTAACAAACGCAACATTGCATTTTTGTTCTTATAGTTAATTGATTATCTATTAAAACGACTTGTTAAAACTATACCCCTAACCGGTGGCTCTATACAGATCGTCTCGCACTGTTCTTTAGTTGCAAATCGATTATCATTACCACCACAACCACCGTACCAGAACTGAGAACATCGGCCTTCGGTTGAATCGTAAAACCATACCAACTTGTACCCTGGGTGGCAAACATTACCTTGGTTCTGTGGCAAAGAGCATGCTACTAAAAATTCAAATAAAATTAATTCATATATGTTTCATTAAGCCATAAAGAAAATTATTTAAAAACTGACCTATTTTTTCAGGAGCAACTGTGCCACCAAACAAAAATGGAGTGATTGTCGTGGACGGACATCCAGCGTAATTCGGTCCGACAGCACGAGCCTCTCCATCTGGGCAACAACCATGTCTAAAAATTTACGAAGAAAAGTAATTGGCGAATTAGCTGTTAAAGAATGATCAGCTTCATTACTTGGTATATCGGCAGTCGTCACAGCCATCATATCTGGGCCCCAGTGCTGGGGTCTCACCATCAGGACAACAACCATAACGAGTATATTGACAAGGACATCCTGAAATTCATATCCATCACCATGAAAATGCTGAAATTCGAAATAAGAATCAATGAAGGAATAGAGAAATAATTGCACCTTCTTTATTTGAACCACGAGCAGCAGTTTTTCCATCTGGACAGCAACCGTACTCGCTTTGGGCACACGATTGAGGGCATCCGAAATAGTTCGATCCTTTAGCTGAGCTTTTTCCATCTGGGCAGCAACCAAATTGTGCATATTTGCATCCACATCCTCAATGAATAAAAAAGGCAATTCGTAAAAAATTTAAAAAAAAATCATAAACTTTACATACCATTGTATATGACGACTACATACTATAACATATATCATACAACATATTTTTCCCCGCACGAAATGAATCAGAAATTGGTAAATACACTCACCTTCATTATGAAGACCCTTCGAGACAGTTATTCCATCAGGACAACAGCCAAATTTCGAAAGCAGACAATTTGCTCCACATCCAGCACCATTGTTTCCCAAAGCTGCAGTTTCACCATCAGGGCAGCAACCAAATACGGAAATTTCACATGGGAATGACGAACGTTCGCAACCTTAAAGAATTTTGCTAGGCTGAATATAATGGGTTAGTCTCGCACAAGCCTCAGAATGATGGGCATGGTTAATTAAAATATACAAATTGATCTTAATTAAAATATCAAAATTCGAATAAAAGTACAATATCTTCTTATTCATTGCAGGATAAAAAAAGGAAAACAATGCTCCACATCCAGCACCATTTAATTCACGTTAATGAAAAAAATTACCTGCATAATGTGGACCGAATGCAATTGTCTTACGATCTTTACAACAACCATATAATGAACCAGCGCAAGAAGGCTCACCACAGCCCTCGAAATTCGGTCCGCGGGCCATTGTTACTTCATCAGGACAACAACCATTTGTAGTTTCATTACAAACACCTAAAAAATAAACAGAATCACCTGATGGTAATAATTTTCCTATCTACTATATATACTTTCTAGTCAGAAATAATTATGTACCGAGCACAAATATCGGACAGCCTGAATTATTTTTGCCTTCTGCACGTGTCGTCCAGTCAGGACAGCATCCGAATTCACTCTTAGAGCAGTGCAAAGTCACATTTTCTATAGTCACATTATCCATCAGTTGTATATCCTCTAATGTTCGATTTGCCACTTTCGCTAATTCACATTCTATTTTCGCTGAATCCCCGGTCTCAAAGCTCATCACTTCGCACAATCCATCAGATCTGTTATAAAAATCAGTTATAAATTGTATCATAAATTTATACAGAAAAAATTGTGAATATGAAAATGAACTTTCAAATAGACCAAATTTGCAAAAACTCACTCTTTTTCTTCGGCAGTTTTTTCCACTTCTTCACCGCTTGTTTCCTCATACTCCGGGCAACCAAATTTATTAGAACCTTCAGCTATTGTCATGTTGTCTGCACAACAACCGAATTCCGATGATGAGCAGTTAGAACATCCTTCTAAATTTGGACCAGTGGCAAATGTGATATTATCAGGGCAGCAGCCAAAATCACTCATATTACATGCTGAAAACATTCTTATTACCAGAAAGAAAAAAGGATAGCCCGCATTTAGAAACCACATACTTGGGCATGAATTAGTATTGCATTCTTGCTCTACAGCGGGCATGGTTGCTTCATCGCATAATTCAGGAACTGGTCGCTTATCATAATTTAAGCAAACTATAAGACGAGTTTGTTTTCCACCATCGCATCTGAAGCAAACAAAATTGAAAACTGAAAAGTTAAAAAGTCCAACCGAATAAGATTTTAATGATGATTACATGTTAAATATAACTGAAAATTGAGATAATGCGCTAGCATGCAAGATCCAATAATGTATACTAACTCTGCAGAACATTCGGACCATGGTCCCATATAATAAGTTCCATTACACTTTTCTTCATTGGTACAGTTTATCCTGGTCTCTGGTTTGGCTTCTGAGTTGCAATGTAATTCATCGACCACCTGAATAGCTTGAATTGGTTATAGATTCTTGAAAGCTAGAAAGCCGAATTCTACTTTCAGCAAAAGTAAATTTGTAATTTAAAAAACAGGATAGTCCTATAGATCTATATTTCTATCGCCATGTTTTACTAATAGCTGGTGGCAGTGGCCTAACCAAAAATGATGGGCTACCACTCTTTTTTTTTTGATTTGAGTAATTCAATTTAATCATAGTTAGTTAGATGGTGAGAATATGATTTGCTGAAGTCGTCAAAATTGAATGAATAGTTAAAAATAGATTTGAATGATTCGTAAAAATACCATAAGATCACCGAGTTCATGAATTGCACACACAACTCGTCGGCTTTTGTGACCATGACCACATTCTGTACTGCATTTTGACCATTCCGAGCTATGCCACTCATAAATACAAGGCTAAAAATTTTTTAGACATAGTTATCCTATTTTGTGCAAAAAAATGGTAACTATTTAACATATAAACTCAAAAGCAGCGTTACCGGTGATGTTGCACAAGGACGAACATCAATAGGGATTTTGGTCACATTATCATTCAAACATTTGTCGAGCGGATAGACCCGACCAATTTTATCCTTGCAGGTTACATTTCGAACATCTTCGGTATCATTACATTTTTCGCACTACAAATTTTCAATCAGGAAATTATGATTTATTTCATTAATGACGAAAGTTCTTCAAGAAACTTTTAAACTCACCAATTGCCAATCAGTGGTGAAAAATTTAAGTCCCTCGCATGGGCCAAGATTACATGCTCTCTGGATTTCAAATTCATTTTCACCACAAGCTTCAGCAGGTTGCAGTTTGCCTTCTTCTCCTTCTTTCGCACTGCGGCAAGTTACTGAACGATACTGGAATGCATCACCGCATTTCTCTGAACAAGCACTCCATGGCCCAGCTTGCCATTCCGGGCACGAAAATCTAGAAATTTTATTTCTCTCAAGTTGAAATATTACCTTAGAACTTTACTTTAAATTGGAGAACAAAGATTGTTTGGTTGTGGTCCCAAAAAATTCTAGCCCTTGAGAATTTAATTATTTTCGTAAAATATGAAAAGATTAAAATTATCATGCGACCATATGATGAAAACATTTCGTAACCATTTATTTCAAGTGATTCATTAAGTTGATAAAAGTTGACATCATGAATATTATTAAATTCTGTGTAAATTCTATACCTATTGCAAGACTGCATAACTTCAGGTCGTTCTGTTGTACAGTTTGAATCATCAACTATCATCCTTTTACCATCAGAAAATAATGTATGGCAATATACCACACGATATTTATTTCCGGTATTTCCACATGTAGCTGAACATGGTTCCCATTCTCCTTGGTACCATCTTTAAATAAACTTTTTAATTCATGCCAGAGAACAATTTCGGAACTTTGTTCATAATAAAAAAATACATTTAAGTATGACAACAGTAACTAACTCAGCTTCACAGTTGACAGTTTCGCATGGCTTTTCAATTTCCGGTTTGGATGAATTGCTCGTTTCACAAAGTTCATTTTCTACAGATTGTTGACTTTTGCTATCGACGCAAAACGATTCTCTCGATTGAACACCTAGGGATAGAAAATCCATAGAAACTTCAGGCCTTTAGACAGTGATATAAGAACAAAAAACAAAAGGATATGCATTCGCTTTTTCGAGAAAATAATCGAAAATATTGAAAAAAAAAAATACTAAAAAAATTACTAATGGTTCAAATATATCACAATTAAAAATTAATCCAGATTATACAAAGAATTTTTCAGTATATGGAATGGTATGATGGTTCGAAAATTAATGAAAAATAAACCTTTCCCACAAGTAACTGAGCATGTGGACCACTCTCCAGGCTTATAAATATATGGCAGATCTTGTTCTAAAGGTACAGAGAACTCGTATTTAATTGCACTATCCTGCAACTCTTTAAATATTCTTCGCGCTCAAACAGTTCAAAATCGATTCGAATTTTTTATGAACCAGGAGCCAACTTGCAAGTTAAGTGTGAAGGGTCGTTTTGATACAATCAAAAAGAATGGGAAGTTGTTGTGATAAAAGGATTCCTTGATAATATTTATCGTGATTAAAACGAGAATCATATATATTCAACTATCTTTAGCAAATGTGTTTGAGGAATAAGATCATCGCACATTTCATATGCAAATTAAAAAATTAAATAAAATTCATCGCCAACTGATATTTTCAAAAAAATCTTCGTCGGTCAAATGCACATTTCATACAGATCTCCCATATATGAATGGATATAAAACATGAATCACATCACTAGATAGATTCCCAGTAGATCCCAGCAAAATTTTTGGAATTCACTAACTGAAGCCTATAATTTCAGATGAAAATTTGTTGAAACTGTAATATACCTTATTCCCTGTTTGAAATAGTAGTGCGATAATCAATTCTTCATTCGTTGGTCCTTTTGCAGTGAGTGTTTCGAACGGTTGATGGATATTTTTCCTTATATCATATTCAAAAATAGTGCCACCTATCTTAAGCGCTTTGTTACTTAATTGAATCTGATAATTTCCATTTAAATAAAAATGATTCGATGCATTTTTGATTGCTGAAAAAAAATTTATTCACTGAATGTGGTTATATATAATTTCTAGATAAAATTCAACTTAAAAGAAAATTTTTAAATGGGTTTTTTAGAAAAAAAGAATATAACAGAAGGAGATGCTGATCTTTAGAGGCAGCACTGCCGACCGTTTACAGCCAATATTGCGATCATTCTCTAGTATGGAGACAATTTTTAAAAATTTTAATAAGTAAAAAATCCGGCTGTTGGTGTCGGGTGGAGCAGTTTTGTCTCCAAGTGGCTGTCTACCTCATCCTTTTAATACGGAATGAGTCTCACCAGAAATATTCAGTGCTAACCGCTTCAAAACTGATCATCCGATCTCCTTTAAAGAAAATTCTCGGGGATCAACCACAACATTTCAATTAAATTTCCTATGTAAACAAAACTTTCCTTTTATCGACGCAAAAGAAAACCATTTAAAAAAATTTTTGACAAAAAACCATAACTTTTTGCTCAATAAACATGAATTCATTTAAATCCAAATAATTTTTTTCAATAATTCGTGAATTACCGAGTGAATTGGTGGTTGGCCTCATTTCTTCAACTCGAATCGATGTAGCTCCAACAGGTAATCGAATAATATTGTGATAGCCTGGTGACAAATTGCGTTCATCAAAGAATCCCTCAACCGTCTTACATGTTGAACCATCACCTCCACACATACCACATTTATCATCCTTTATAGCTTAAAATTCAATAAATGTAAAAATAACTGTAGAGATTTCAAAATGACAAGACCGCTCGCAAAAGTTCCTAAGAATTGAGCTTTACAAGAAAATCTATACAAATCTGGATGTGAAATACTGCAAAATGAAAAAAATAAGCAGGAAAAAATTTTTTATAGAATAGTAGAAAAAACATAAAAAAGGTGGCAAAAAATTTCAAGCTCACTGTAAATTAATAAAATTCAGATGTATGATTCCATAGTTTATTTTTTTTATTTAAGAAATTTTAAAATGAAGAAAGAACTAACCTGAACCTAGTTTTTTATCACATCCAAGAGGTAAACATACACCTTCAACGCAGATATCATCACCACTATTTTCACATTTCGTTCCATCAATCACCTACGATCACAAAATTTCACAGATAATTTCATGATCCGAGGGAAGATGATTGAGTATTGAGGATATAATGATTCGAAACCCGTCATTAGAAGAGACATTCAGATCGTTTCAAGAACTATATAACTGACCTATACTATCCCAAAGTGATTCACTAGTGAAAGCATCCTAATATTCAGCCAATGGTAATAACTGTCAGATATTTCTACTAAATTTCTTCTTTTTTCAGCGATACAATTCTACAGTATCAGATAGAAAAATACCTATCGAATAGAAATATAGTAAACATAAGATAAAATTAATATATAGTTTCAAACACGACCATCCGCGTCAACGTCAACCGCCTAGGCTTCATCGCTTTGAATCCCCTATTTTTTAATCAAAGTATTTGCTACTAGGTCACTGAAATAGTAAGAATTTCTTAACAGTTTTTCTTCCCAAATTCCTCTGTTGTACAATTATTTTTTTCCCCAATTAGTACAGAAAAAAAATTGTTCCCAAAAAATAATAAATGTTTGGCGATTATCCGACTTAAAATCAGTTTAAAACGATTCCTTAACTGGTTAATTTTACGAGCTTTTAAAATTAAAAATTCTAGTTAAAAACTTAGCTTTAAATCTTCATTATCGATAGAATTATGAAAATTATAATTGTGTCAGCTGGAAAATTTCATGCAGAGCTCATAAAAAACGAACCTTATCAGCCCATTTATAATAAAAGTTGGCGTTATCAGGTTTGCAAGTCAATTCGCATTTATTTTTTCCAGGATATGGCAACCATTTATAATAATTGCCATCAAGTGGTGTGTCATCGTACTGGGAACATTGTTCGGCACGAAAATCTTTTGACGTTTCAGAACATTCTTCAATACTGCATGAGACATAACGAACTGATGCGCCTGTGCACTCACCGCTAAAAAATTAATTTTTATGAGAAATAATTTATTAAAAATAAAAAATGTAAAAATGTAAATAGTTAACAGATCACCAAACTTTGTAACAGAGAGTGAAAAATCTAAAAAATTATGCGGATATCACCTGCACTGACGTTTCTCAATTTGAACACCGCCACCACATGTTCTAGAACATTCTTTGTCCCTAATCCATGGTCCCCAAAGTCCTGTTTCTGCCTGACCCGATTTGTCGACTGTTACTGACTGATCACCGCCAACATAAACTTGGTAGGCTTGTCTTTTTGCTCTGATTGAATCCGGATCTGCTTCTGGTGGCGATTTGCTGTGCAAATAAATTTTTCGCTAAAAAAACTGGCTCAGAAACCGAGATTTTTAATGAATTTATTGTCAATTAATCAATTCTTTAGGCGCTATTATTACTCCTACAAAATATTTTTAAATGAATTATAAAACTCCACAAAATACCTGCAGTGAAGAAAACCAAGTATAAGACAATATTGGTATGATTAACAAAATTAGCCAGAATAACGCTCTCATCTGATCTTGCAGCCTAAAGTTCCAGTTTTTAATTGATAAAAACAGAAACCTATCGCTATATTATTACGAAATAATTATTCTCATTCTAAAAATGCATTTTACAAATGAAGAAAGTAAAAAAAGTATGATAGAGTGCTAATCCATGAAAAAAATCGAAAGGAAGAGATGAAAAAAATGAAACATGATGGATGATGAAAATATTAGTAAAACAGTTCGAAACTATATAGATATGTTATAAAGGTCAGTTTACGTGCCTCATAATAAGATCTCGAAAGGTCAAATTTTGCTTTGCTTACGAATAAAACTAGCTACCATTCTATCAATTCTTTGCTGCAATACAACTTTCAGTTTCTCTGAATTTATTAAAGTGAAACATATAATTCATCTATAAGATAGAAATTTTGCCGGGCAATTTTTCACTTAATTCTTCTTGAAACAAGGATTTTCGTCACTATGGAAGATTTGTGCATGTAATCAAGCTTTTCAAGCATTTCTACATAGCTAATTTCATCCGTAATTTTATATTTGAAGTAATTAAGCGCCATGTGTTTTATTAATAACAACAAAATAAGGTCAATGAATAGAAATTAATGAGCGATATATGATACAAAAGGTCCTTATAACAATATAAAGGGAAATAATACAATAAAGTGGAATTATAGAATAACTCAAGTCGAATTAAATGTATTACATCAAGTCGAATTAAATATATTCGGATGATAAAATAATAATAAAGATTTCAAACTACCTTCATAATGTGAATCTTCTAAATGCTTCATGAATGATACTATTTAATCTTCTTTTAAAAATAGTTAAGGATAATATTTGGCAGCTTATTCCAGTGGTACGAATAAAAAAATTATGCGCCATTAGTTTAGTTTTGCATTTAGGTTTTAATAATTTTAACCCATTAGATCTTGCTAGGTTGAAACCTAAAATTATCGTATTTTGAACAATCTAATTTGACACAACCATATAGATTTTTTTATGTATAAATTAAAGCTAATTTAATTCGACGAATTGAGAGTGAGTCTAGATTATATAGTTATCAATAATATAAAGTTTTGAAAGATGCTTTTTTCTCTAAGCTACCGTTACAGTTTTCATATAATCTATTCTAGTAAAATTTATTGGAGTCATAAAATTTATAAAAGCTAAAAAAACTATGGATAACGAGATTCATTTCAATTAAATGTGTTTTCGAAATATACTTGCTGTGAAAAAACTCGTAAGACTCACTTGAGATATATATTAAATACAGACTTTATTCTCGTTCTAGGAATGCAACATTCGAGAAAAAAAAATGATCAGATCAGAAGAAAACAATGGTACAGCAGTTACAGCAGATAAAAATTAAATTAAATTAATAGGATAAACAAAACATTTAAAGATTGAATCTTAGAAAAAAAATCAACCTGTATTATATGTCTAAAACTAAGCCAAAGTAAGCTAAAAGGTCGGCAGGAAATCCTGGCTGGATTCTCGTGGTACTGTCAATACTAAGTATCAATACCAATAAATTTTGGAAATATTTTATTTTCGTTTAACTTTTTATTCGTTTGTGAAAAGTTTTAGAGTAAATCATTTTTATTCTGATTTGACCTTTTTCATAAGTTTTTTACACATATTTGCTGTTGATAATAGTGATATTGATAATAGCGAAATTTGTAAAAACCAAAGGCATAATTAATGATTCAAATGAGAACGAATGTAAACGAATAACAGTATGAGTAATGTATCATTTTCTTCGCTATTTTCATTGAATCAAAAAAAAATTGGTTTTTGAATTTTTCTTTTTTTTATAAATAATTCGATTTCACCGAAGACAATCTGAAAGATATAAACGACAGCGATTTTGCTAAAAAATTTTTAACAAATGAAATAAAATGCCGGCAAACAATGAAAAAGTGACATAATGAAATTACAACACGAAATAGATGCTCGAGCAAATGATCATATTTACGCCTTTTGTTTAAGATGTGGATTGAAGGAAATCCAAGTTTACATATTCAGACACTATTAAAAAACTAACGGAACAAAAGTAATAACGTGGTTGATATGGTGGTTGAACGTCCAGACATAAAAGTTTTGAGAGATTTAGGGGATCGCGATGTTGTTCGATCTTAAATCGTTGGAATAATATATCGTAATGGGTCACCATTAGGACTTGGAAAATTTGATTGCATAGCCCCGCCCTGAATAACCAGCGATCTCGACTTCTATCATTTATCCTCCACTCAAGATAAACAGGCAGTCTTTTAAACTTTTCGATGTTATATTTTCTGAGGAAAACTTAATCTGCATATTTTGCGAATAAAATTGTCATAAATATTCTCAGTACAAAATATATGGCCCAAAGACTCGAAATAATTGCATTTAGATGTCATTTTTGGACAGCTGCTCAAAGCTTAAGATAGGCCGACTGAGTAGCAAATGAAAGCTGCTGTTTTCTGGGAATAGTTAATTGGATGGTACTAATTAATGAAATGAAAAAAAGTAGCTTAAACAGTGTAACTCTGTAACAGTGTTCTTTGCGTTATTCACATTCCAATATTTTTTGAATTTTTGATAAATTTATCGACGTAATTTGATTTAAATATATTCATCTAATGTCCTAAAAGATTCGTTTCTGCTGAGCATACGTTTAGATAAAACAAAATTTTAGATAACAAAACTTTATCATCTTTAAAGAAAATCAAACATTCAATCAAACTTCGCGACGTAAAATGGTGAAGAGTTCTATAGTTCTTTCCTTTATGGTCTAATTTTTATTTTTGCCTTCACTGGCGAAATGTAATGCTGATCATAATTTTAGTTGTTCCTCTACAATGAATTAGATTCTCAATTTATTTGCAGGGAAGGATAAATAATTTAGCGATTAGTTTAGTGGAAAATGAAATCATTGATGTAAACAAAAGCTGTATTTAGATATTTAGTTTTAATTCAATAACGAATAGTCGGAAATATCGGAACAATGATTGAAGAAAATGGAAATCAAATCAACAGTAAAGTTGTGAAAAACATTAATTTGACCAAATGATTGCATTTTCCACATTCTTAAAAAAGCTAAAAGCTAAAAAATAATAAGATATAAATGAACAAATGGTGGGAAGTGGATAATAAAGAGTTTTACATTTAATACTGCTATAACATAGATTTCAACTCGATGAAGGCGAAAAAAAAGAAGAAAATAACTGAAGATGAAATATCTGGATGAATATGAGGCACCAAATCTTAAAAACTATGTTATTTCCAAATCCATATGAGGAAAATTGAGTGATGGCTTCAAAATCTGTTGGTTGTTCCATCCGACGATATCTGTCTCCTTAAGCTTCCAAACGTATAGATATCTATTCTTAGCCAACTTGTAAAAAAATATTAATCGAATTTAAGAAAAGATAAAAGATAACCATTTTCCTAACAAGATTACTCAGTATAATAATTTCCATGAATTTAAATCAAAAAATTGAAAATCACCACATCAAATCAGTTTAGTAAACATGTAGATTTGATAGCCAATCACCAAAAGCAAGTGGGCAAATGAATGATCGACTCCGTAATTGATGAAAAAATTCTCGATAAAAATTTAAAGAATATTGATAAACTGAACTATTTAATATTTACCTATAAAATTCATTAAACAATTAAGAAATACTTGTAACATCTTCGCAATTTTTTGATATGAAATATGATATTAATAAAAAGGAATTTAAAAAATTTTGTATAATTTTTTAAAAAAATGTAATTAAAAAATTTACAGCTGTAGATTAATGGATTAATAAAAAAAAGTGAATTAAGATGGTATGAAGACAACTGTTGTATCTGAATCCTCTAAGCTAATATTTCCTACCGAATCGCTAATTCACTTATTCATTAAATTCCTACAGTATAAATAATACCAGAGGCGGAATTTATTCGGACTAGTGAATTTATATATTGATATTAACTCATTTTCTATTGAACAAAACTTAAAGATAAACAAACCATTTCTTTTTAATTGCGTATAGTTTTAAAAATAAAGTTTTAATAAACTTTTAAACATGTTTCGATTCCTCTTCCTTGGTAAAAGTTAAGCAATCATTGAAAGCGAAGTGTTTGCAAATTACTTATCTGTACTTCTATCTCAAAGTGATGCTTTAATGAAAGAGTGCCGCAATTCCCCAGAAATCAGTGGATCCAACCAAATCAGAGACGGTGAGTGCGGCTTGAGGAAAAAATCAACTTCGCTCTTCAACTAACTATGATTTTGTATTACACCCGAAGATTTTAGTATTCTTCGAAGTCCTTAACGAAATTTTTAAACAGTAAAGAGTATTCTCGATTGCACTTTATAATTGAGTTATTATATTGGCTGCAAAGTTTAGCAACAGCAATTTAGTAGAACTACTCCATTTGAATGTTAACACACCTCAATTTTTTCATCACTACTAAAAAATATTTTTATTGCGCTTGGGAAATGATTCCGAAAAATTTAAGGATAGAGAGGGAGTTGAGGTGGATAATAAAAATATTTCAAGTTGCAAAAGTAAAACCTGCAAAAAAAATTAAATCAATGCAATCATCTATCGATTCTTTAGCGCTAATTACTATAGCAATTGCTTCTTCTTTTTTATGTTCGCTCATTTTATTATTCATTTAAAAAATAGAGAATTGATATGCAATTTATTTACAGGTTCATTAAAATAAATGCAGGTATTTTTTTATGAATTCACTTAATTTTATTTTGCTTAATTGAGGATCATGGAAGTCAATTTATATTTTAAAACCATACACAAATATTCTAAACATTTCTAAATCTTTACCACTTAATTTCAGGTAATCCTTTCTGAAAAAAATTGTATAGCCAAACCACTACATTTTTGTTCCACTTTTCTTCGTTTAACAGCAATCGCTTTTCTGCTCTGACTACCGCCTTCTTATTTAAATGGAGCCCTTTCGTTGGAGAGCAAAGATAGAAGTAGGATAGTCTAGTTGATATTAATTACTTTGTGTGGAGGAAA